AAAAGCAGAAACAGAATTTAAGAGAAAAATGACAACATAAAAACTAAAATATAGCAGCATTATATTAAATAAAATAGTGTTTGTAAAGCGAGTAATTGGTGTAAATTTTGTCGCAATCAGTAAAAAGAAATTATTTATTTTACGGTTAGGTTCGGGGAAGCAGATTGTTTAATAGTGAACTGGGAAAGGTAAGAAAAGATTAGAAAACTACATGTATGATGCTGAGAATTTATTGGGATAGGAACAGAGAAATAAAAAAATAAATAAATAAACTATAGATAAATGAAGATAATTCTTAATAATAAACTTTTAGTAATAAAACTCTAAGGATTAATCAAAATATTAAGCGAAGCTACACTTAAAATTTGAGAAACAAAGTCTTTGATTAAGGTCGAACATGTTTTAAAGGTAGGCAGCATTATATAATTAAGATTATTACTATATTTGTACTATGAATAAAATGTAATTTAGGTGAAATGAAGATTTGTAAATAGGAGTGAAAATCAGTAAATCGATTCATCATATCGGACTTGACACCTGATCTACACCTGATCGTGTGTAGTAGCTAGGGGTTAGTAAAATTACGGGGGGACAACTTATTATAATATATAGCCAATAAAAATGGACCAATATTACCGAACCGTATTTCAAATTTCCTTTTTTGGAATTCTCCGATGATCGACAAAATTAGCAAATAAACTAGCGTTATTCAGAGATGTTAATTGAACATCTTTACGTAGCGAACTACGTAGCGATAATACAGTACCGAGTACCATATGCTATATAAATACGAAGATCTTGGCTACATTTTTTATACAGTGTACAAGTGTAGTATGCGTATAACTATAACAAAATATATATTTTTTTATAACAATAAAAAACATCGCGACATAGCAGTTACAAATGATAAGAGAGCTCTACGAAGAATACATATAATATTTCCTATTTTCTTTATTATACTGTATTTTATAATTTAGCTTTTGTAGGATTGTCTCCATTGTTGTTTAATCTCTCGCTCTAGCGGAAGGATATTAGCACCAGAAGTTACATGTCTATGAGGATTTGTGTCTTTATACATTATGTCTACCAAATTTTGTACTTCTTTGAAAGAGCTTGAAGCAATAAGGTCGCGAAGGTGAGTCATTAGGGTACGATTATCATTCATATTATATAGTTCTTGCATTGATAATTGTTCAGATTCAATTAGGTTCTGGAACAATATTGAATTTTCTTGCAATATTTGGAGACTTCTCAAAGTAGATTCTAAGAATTCTTTAAATTCTTGTTTGCATATAGCGGTAGTATTTAAAGTATCAATGTTGGCTTTATTAGATATTGGTTCAGTCGATTCAGGTATATTAAATGGTGATGTTACTAAAGCATTGATTCCAAAATATGTCCTATATAATTAAGAATTTCTTTAGATGAGGTAGTTATAGGACTGTTATCATTATTATCGTGATTATTGCTTTTATTGTCTATATTTTCATTCTCATCATCTACGTTATCGTTATCTTCATTATTAATCTCAGAACTTATCGGCATTTCTGATCTGTCGGCATATTGATTATAATAAATTTGTTGAGCTTCTTGGTAAGTTGGAAAAGTTATTTCGGGTAAATACATATACTGCTCTTGTTTACGAAGTTTATTGATATAAAGAGCAGCAGCATGAAGATGCTTACACAAGATACCAGTTTGAAGAAAGTCAAAGTATTGACAACAAATATCTGTTGGCTGTCCATATACACAGGTTGTATAAATAAACCTAGAGGAAGATTCAGAGTCGACCTCAACATAGATTTTTTCACTAGTTATTTCAAATTTAATACTTTTTTCATTTCAAGTAGTTTTTTTGCTAATTCATTCTGTTTTATACTTGGAGATAAATAGGCAACTTGTGAAAATTCTTGCATTAGAAGCTTACGATCAGATGGATCCATTATATTGAGTTCTTTTCATCGCTCTACTTTCTCACATTCAAGATCCATAGCAAGTTTCGTAACGTTAAAATATTAGATATAACTTCATATACAAGAGCAATATAAAGTATATCAGCTCTAAGAAGGTGGCCACATCTTTGAAATCGATTTAATTGATTATTTTTCAAATATTCATTCATTCCTTCAAGGTGGTTATTAGTAGTAGGGAGTTTTTCTAAAGGAATTCCAAGGGCATTTGCGGCCTTCATTCGTCCATTTAGACACCAACTATACAGAAGATCTCCAGCCCACTGTTTAATCAAATAAGAAAGAAATTTCAAAAAAGTTTTTTATTTTCTGAAATAGTTTCTACCACATACATACTTTCTAATGATTCTTTTTTTTTTAATATGTTCACACACTATCTCTTCACTACCGTTTATCGACTGAGCCTCTTTTATAATACTTTTTAAAAATGATTTTAAGATTTGTCTTAAAAGAATTACTTTATTTTCACCACCACGACCTAATTGTTTATTAATTTCATTCTTGCAGCATTGACTA